ATTAAATAAGACGCTGCTTTCACACATGGTGTTTTATTTTAACTGTTGTTAGCCACAGCCAAGCCGTATATAGGCGAAGCTGGTGACACTTTATTTTGAGTGGTCGTTTTTAGATTAAATCAACTCAACAGACTCTCAGTAACACATCAACAACATATCAATGATGTGGCAGCAGTGAATACGTTCAGTCGATTATCAAGAGCTGTAATCACTGCGTAAATAAAATTTGTTCAGGATTTGCTGAATTTAGTTTATTTGGAGTGTCCAAATGCATATCTGCAGATGTTAACCTGAGAAATAATTGAACATGCAATAGGTTTAATACAGACTCTCAACATCCTCAACAAGCTGTTACAGACCTGCTGCTGATGCCATTCTGTAACTGGAGCTTAACTGGTTTAGGTTATGTATTGAGGTTAAGGTTAGAGGTAGGATAAGGGGCCAGGGTTAGGTTTTGCTTAATGGAAGTAACATATAAAGTCTACTTCCTGCCAGACAGCATGGCGAGACCCACTGGACAGCGTAGTGCAGATCAGTTGACCTGCAAGACTTAGTGGGTCACACAGAGTGGATCAATTTGAACCTGTCAGTGTGACAGAGCAGCACCACAAAACCTGATGTAGAAGCAATACATCACATTAGTTACAGCCATTCAGGCAGAATTACATGTTTCTGCATGCTGAAAATTTATCAGAACAAAAGCACTGAGCTTTCTTTGTTTATGTTATTTTTATTTTCTACAATCCAAAGTGTTGTTAAACTTGGTAACACATTACTGTAAGGTACTGTTTATAAGGATACATGACAGCTACATAAGCTTGTCATGACAACTGGCATAACCCTATATAAATGTTTATAAATGCTTGTTCCAGTACAGTTCATTCACTATAAAGGTTACATTTGTTAATTCTGATCAAAGTTTGCTAAAGTAGCCTTTATGGCAGATGGTGCCTGTTGAAACAGGCATTTATAAACATTTATTTAGGGTTATGTCAGTTGTAATGACAAGTTTGTGTAGGTGTCATGTAGCCTCATGAACATTACCCTACAGTAAAGTGTTATCATTAATGCACGTTTAGTAGCCATATTCATAAAATGTAAATCGTATTTCAAGTTTCTTCCTCATTGAGAGGATTACAGCTAAATGCTAAACAAGGATAGCAGTCTAAGCAAGCTTAAAGTACTAAAACAATGACCAAGGAACATCAAATATTTGTCATATTTTACTAATCTAACACACAATCTAAAAGCACCATGTGAGGTTTATAGGGTCAACTAAGTACACTGACCAAGAAGCATCAGTTTTATAGGGCACCTGATGGAACATCTCACAACTAATTAATTAAACAGGTCACCACTCTGCGAATAACGTTTCTCAATGTAAAATAGCAAAGAACGTGAGGATTTCATCATCTACAGTACATAATAACATTAAAAGATTCAGAGAATCTAGAGAAATCTCTGTATGTAAAGCCTAAGGCCAAAACCCAATATTGATTGGTTCATCTTCACTGCATTAAAAGAACAGACAATTCTGTAGTGGAAATCACTGCATGGGCTCAGAAAACTGAAAACCATTGTCTGTAAACACAGTTCATCGCTGCATCCACAAATGTGAGTTAAAACTACCATGCAAAAATCATGGACACCTCATCCTCCAGGCTAAAGAGGAGAGAGACCATCAGGCTTGTTATCAGTGCACAGTTCAAAAGCCAGCATCCATGATGGAATGGGGGTATTAGTGCACATGGCATGGATGACTTGCACATATTTTTCATTGACATATAAATATTGGGTATAATAATAGAAAGACATTAAATACAATAAAGTAGACCCTGAGTTGAGCAGCTGAGATCCTATATTAAGCAAGAATGGGAATCATATCACTTTCAAAACTACAGCAATTGGACTCCTAAGTTCCTAAACACGGAGTGTTGTTAAAAGAAACATGCTGCTGGCATCAATTTTATATACTTTTCAAGAACAAAATTTCTCAGTTTCAGCATCTGATATGTTGTCGTGGTACTATTGTAATTAAATATAGGATTTAAATGATTTGCTCATCACTGCATTCTGTTTTTTTACATTTTGCACAGCGTCCCTATTTTTTTTTTTTTAAATGGGGTTGTAATGAAGGTTCTCCAGATGTGTTTGTATCCATCTTTTCTGTTTAATCAAAACACAGCATCAAAATCACAAAAATCAGAATGAGACACTCCAAAATAGTCAAAAACCAGGATAGATTACAACAGTAGTGAAACAAGGCTCAGTACACAGATGAACTGGCAATACTTAGCAGAGAGCCAGTGTTTGTGTAGGTCCTTATAAAGGGAGGTTAATGAGCTGCGGGTGAGAGAGATTAAGGTGTCCCTAGGAAGCAAATCAATACTCAGGTGAGGCTGACCTCTGGTGTCGATGGCGGGTTTACAGGGATTACACTTTACAGGGTTTATATAAATGGGGTTGCGTATATTTAGCCTTTGTGTTTTTTTAGAAATTGTCACAAGCCTGTGAAAATGGCACTGAATATCAGGTTATATCTAGGATTATCTACACCTAGGAACATTGTTAGGCTGTTTTACAGCAGTGCAGTGCTTTATGTTCATAGGAAATACATTAGCTATAATGTGCAGTACAGCAGAATCCTATGTGGAGCAGCAAAATATGTCATTACATTTAGCTAAGTTAATAACACGTTTCATATGTCCTCTTCAGTCTCTGATTAATCCATCTTGATTTTGTACAACCAGAAAATGGTCCAGTAATGCTTTACATTAACTAAATGTACATGAAGCATTCATGATATAATCATAAAAGTACAGTAATACTCCATTACAATTACATTATCCTTTTGAAACATTCATTAAATACATTAATTAATGAGAAACATACACTATATTGTCAAAACTATGTGGACAACTGACCATCACACCCATGTGAACTTGTTGGACATTGCGTTCCAAAACCAAGGGCATTAACATGGAGTTACCCTTATAACAACTTTCCACAGGATTGTGAGAGTGTGTCTGTGGGAATTTGTGCCCATTCAGTCACAAGAGCATTTGTGAAGTCAGACACTGAGGTTGGATGAGAGGGCCTGTCTCACCATCAACGTTCCAGTTAATCCCAAAGGTGTTCAGTGGGGTTGAGGTCAGGGCTCCGCGAAGGCCACTGGAGTTCCTCCACACCAGACTCATCAAACCATGTCTTTATGGGGCTCATTTTGCATACAGAGACACAGTCATGCTGGAACAGGAATGAGCCTTCCTCAAACTGTCTACAGTTAGAGAAGTCTGTGACAAATGGGTTGAGCATCTATCGCTCATTTACAGTCCAGGGTCGTGTCTGGTGTTCTAGTGTTTAGTGTAGTGTCTAGTGTGTTGGTCTAGTGAAATCAGGGGTATTAATAGGGAGTTTGTCTCCCTCTGCTGTAGTAACAGCCTCTACTCTTCTGGGAAGGCTTTACATTTAATGTTGAAACATTGCTGTGAGGATTTGATTGCATTCAGCATTAGTGAGGTCAAGCACTGGTGATGGATGATCAGTTCTGAATCACAAATGGTTTCAGTGTCTGCATGGTTCTCTACATCACACAACACATAAGAGGCATCAGTAAGGTTTAGGCTGTGTGGCCTACTTTTGGTGCTTACACAGATACATAATTAGGCCTATTGTGAAATATCATGGCACCAGAAGCAGAAATTTATTGCTTGTTAAAAACCTTTTAAAACAAATCTATTGTTAGGATAAACGCTATACATTTTTAATGAAATGAAAAATACTAATAGTACTTGTTTGTCTGTTTTTAGACTTGTATTTGGTCTCATTATTTAAAATATTATTTTGAATAATGTTTTATTTAACAAAAGTTTCATGTAATAAAATTGTAGTACAGACATAAAAAAAACCAACAAGGGTGTAATTCTATATATTCCTTGCCTCTAATCTAAATAATAATAATCATGACAATAATCATTAAAACACATTATTGAATTTGCTTGCTCTAGAGGGCACACCACACTCTCTTCTGTAAATCATGGCCGTCTTGCTGGTCAATGATTTCATGGATTTCATAAATTGCGAACCTCCTTTTAGCTGTTATAGTGGCAGCAGATCGAAATACGCAGAGAGAAATGTGGGCTCTGTCCTTCACAGGACCCTAAAGCAGTCCCTCCCCCCAATAGCACTGGATTATACTTTCCTGCCAAAAATATTTAGTTCCCATGGCCTGTGTATTTATATGTGTCTGTGTGTGAGAGAGAGAGAAAGAGATTGTTGGAGTCTGTTGTATTTTCGATTGCCTTTCTGAACTACAGGGTCAAATTTGAGCCTGAACAGTATCTTTGAGCCAAAATGGTGTAGACTTTATATGACTAATTTTGACCAACTTTGACCCAGAACACAATAGGAAGGATAGATATTGACACAACTGTACTCCTTTACTCACAGAAAGATCCAATTTCTTAACTATGGGCCTCAACTTCGATCCAGCACAGACTCTGATACCCGATACTCTGGTACCTGCGATATCAAGTACCTATACTAAATCTAACCTAACTACTTGACAGCTGCCTATCAATCATAACATTTGCACCATTCTACTGTTTTAGTAAAGCAGTGTTCTGTTTCACAAACAAAAAGTGTGAAGGAATGACATTAACTGGTTGAATAATTTCACATTTGATTGGTTTCAGATCTACAGTCACTGCTCTTCAGCATTGTTTATCTTCAAAGGTTTAATTAACTTTCCATGCTGGTTGTAGTCCTCAGAATATAATTAATAAGTGAATGTTGTACTACTGTTCCACTGACTTGTGCGCATGAAGCAGAAACTGCTATTTTCTATTGCTGATAACGATACTGTATTTTAGCGCCAGTATCAGCACCATTACCAATATTAATCCATGTAGGTAGACTACAGGGTTGACTTCAGTCTTTCCATCTGAGTACTAATACTTAATGCAGACAACAACAGAGCACAAAACACAGAACAAAATAAATGAGATCCTCTTAATCCTCTTTATTCCATCCCACAAACACAAAATGCTGAATAATCTATACAGAACGTAAACGGCACCAACAATATGCAAAAGCCATATTCAGAAGGCTTACAGTACAAAACTAGGCACCTTAATTAAAGCCTAAAAAATCTCATATCAGCTATGTACAGTTTCCTGTTCCACCTGAAACAGTATGTATTTATTAACAGCTTAATAATAATCATAATGTAGGTTTCTGTATGTACATATATGGGGAATGCACAAGTTTGAACTAAAAAAAAAAAGTCAGCTTAAAGTGTAATAAAAAGAAATAAAAGCAGTTTATCATTTACATAAACGATGAAAGCACAAAATGTGGGTTTGGCCTTTAAATATCATTGTGTTCTGCACTGTGAAAACATAAAATCTCTAATTAGAAATATCAGGATCCTGTCTCTAATGCTGTGAGTCTATTACAGTCTGTATATTAGCCCTGAAAAAGGAAAAAAAAGTTTTAATGAAGAATATATAGTTGAAAACCTGCAATGTTGGACCCCCTTTTAGGAACAGAACTTACAGAACCAGTCAAAAGCCTTAATGTGTTTTTATTATATTTTCAACTAAAAGTTTAGGCTTACAGAGGAAATGGTTAAATGGTTAAGATGTAAACAAAGTCATTCTGAGTGGTCTAAAGTGAAATGCTTCACTCTGGAGAAACAAAGTCAAAATATAATGCACCATTTTACATCCTACTCTGAATGACTGTTACATCTCAATAACTGAAGTTTCTGAGCCAGTGCAATGTGATTATATGTTTATACTTTTCAGTCCTGTTCAAAAAGTACCTTAGGTGGCTTCCCATGTGAAGCTGCATCAAGGCATTGCGTAAAGCCATATGTGTTCTTTCATTGTTGAAACATCTTCATTATCCATATTATATGCGTTCAGTAGCAGAAATAAAGAATTCTTCTATGAGTAAGTGTGTCCAAGCTGTTGACTGGTAGTGTATACTATTGTACAGAAATTAGTATTTAGCATTCATACAATAAAGTTCTCCCCTACACCACTGTAGATGTACAGATGTGTCCCTTACAGCCATATGCATTAATAATAGCACAATAATGCCACCTAGTGGCTGCTTGCTGCTATAAGTCTAGGTGCAAACTCCCTGTTTCCGCACAGCCAAGTTCAGGTCATTCAGTTCATAACACACCTGTAAAAGTCCTTATAGGAATATTCCGTTAAACAAACTAATGTTTAACATGAAACATGGAGTGCGCTCTGTGGTTTGATCACTGCCTGACTGCAGAGTGAGTTTTCTCATTATCTGGTTAACCAAGTGCATGTAAACTCGTTAAACGAATTACTGACTAAATTTTCTGCAGTTACCAGATTAAGTGCAAGCCAGCACACTCAATCACTTAAAACAAATGGCCACCAATTATCAATATGTAAATTACATCATGCTAACTGAGGCATACTATGTTCCATTCCTGTCATGTTAGCACAGTCGATCTACTCCTTTAATATGATCTTTTGAAGAAGGAGATACTTGTACAGCCTCATCACTGCAGAAAACGGTCCTGTTAAAACAACAATTCAGTGAAAAGTCCCGCAGCCATTTTCCCCTCTTACCTCAAAAGGTAGCAGATCAACCAAGACGTGTTTGGTGTTTAACATTTGGTTGTTTTGTTTTGCACTGGCTAATGTAAGTAATGGAAGCAAATACAACACCAAGTAGCATCACACACACTTGTCTCAAACTGTGTTATTAGTTCAGCTTCACAGCTCCAGCGCTAAACTAAAGAAGCAAACCTCACACACCAAACTTGCCGGCGCCTACTACAACTGAGGTAAGTTGAGAAGCTGGTGAAATTTTAATATTGGTCAAACAGAAAGGGATACGCAGTGTCAGAGCGTTTTCTGGCCCACAGCAGAAGAGGCTGGTTGCTAGAACCTCAGCCAAACAGTGCAAATTCTAGCTTAGAAAAAAAGAGCTACTGCAACAGGGTGCAAGTCAGTGCAACTCCAGCTGCAACCTAATGAGCACAACAGGACAGTGCAGGGTCCAATCTGTTTGGCAGAGAGAGAAGTAGCAGTCAGAGAGCCAGGAAATGAACAGCAAAACATACTATGAGCTGAATACACTACCGCACTCAAACATTAAAAAAAAAAAAAAGTATGAATAATGCTAAATGGTTTGGGGTTCTTTGGGGTTTATCTATGTTATGGATCTACACTATTTGTCCAAAACTTTGTAGACACCTGCTCCCCCAGCATTTTTTTCAGAAATCTAGGGTTTTAAGGGAATTTGTCCCACCCCTTTGGTGCAGTAACAGCCTTTACACTAGATGTTGAAACATTGCTGTGAGGATATGATTGCATTCAGCCACAAGAGTATTTGTGAGGTCAGGTAGAGATTTTGGATGATTATTTCTGGATGACTCCAGTTCATCAGTATAATATTGGATGGAGCAGCATCACTCCAGAGAATGCAGTTCCACTGCTCCAAAGCCCAATGCTGGGGGTCTTTTTAGTTGATGCTTGGCATTGGGCATGGTGATCTCAGACTAATAGACTACTCCAGAGTGCACCATTCTATTGGCAGTGTTTTTCTATGGAGATTATACAAGATGTGCATGTGCAACTGAACACCCGTGTTAGCCATGGGTGCATTTTAAAATAGCAGAAGTAACTAATTAGAAGGAGCATCTGGATAGTTATGGACATATAGTGTGTGTGTGTGTCATAGCTATGGCACATCATCATAGTTTCGCAAGTAAGCAACAGTTTTGTAAGCTAAATTCTGTTTAGTTTGTTTCTCCCTTTCTCTCTCTCTCTCTCTCTCTCGTTCTCTCTCAAAACTCGTCGTCGGAGCTGAGCAGCAGTGTTTTCTCGTTGTCGCGTGTGGAGCCGGTGCTGAGGCTGCGAGTTAGACCACCCCCCGGCTGCTCCAGCGTGCTCTGCTGAGTGTACTGCTGATACGCCGGAGAGAAGTTGTGGATAGCGTCCTGCACCATGTCCCCAGGGTTCATTGTCTCTTTTAGACTGCTAGAGATACTCTTCATTACACAGCGTCCTGTGAGAGAAAGAAAGAAAGAAAGAAAGAAAGAAAGAAAGAAAGAAAGAGAGAGAGAGAGAGAGAGAGAGAGAGAGAGAGAGAGAGAGAGAGAGAGAGAGAGAGAGAGAGAGAGAGAGAGAGAGAGAGAGAGAGAGAATGTTCATGAACTGAAGGAGTAAATAAAATTCAGCAAAATGTCTCCAGGGAGTTTTCATAAGAACATTAATATGGATGAAGGGAGATGAAATAAGAGTAACAATTTAAAAACTGTAAGTAAACTGTTTAAGTGAATGACTGTTCAAGATAACTGTTAAAGCTAATAATAAAATGAGTAGCCACTCAAAACTAAAATTATATAAAAATTAGGTCAAATGATTAAAGAATTAATTTTGATTAATTGCATTAGTTTGTGTACTTAATAGCAATGTCTTTTTTTTCTCTAATTTGACCCTAAAGTTCACATAAACCTGAGTTTGAAAATCACATGAACGCAGAGTAAACCGTAAACTAAGATGAACACAGTTTCCAATTTTCATCACCAGCATCAACAGTAGCTCTTCTGTGGCTGTAGCCTCTTGCTCTTATAACACTACGTTACATCTTCGTTTTAGGGGAGCTGTAGTTTTTTCCACTTTGCTGTTACTTTTGTTAGTTTGCCATCTGTTGATTTATCGATAGTTATCCCACAATCTTTGTCCAGTATTTGCTTGTAAATGATACTTAAGGCTGAAAATTCACTTAAGATTCACTAAGGCAGCAGCTGGAAATAACTTTCTGGAACTTAATGGAATAGCCATTTAATAGCTGTATTTGAATGAGAGGGCTACAGTCTCAGCAATAGTGTGCAAGCAGGTGGGCTTCAGGCTGGAACTATGAATGGTTCAAATGGTCAAACTAGGAAAATGTAGTAACAATGTTATGTGGCATTAATGATTTTTTGCATTAAAATGCTAACGCTTTGACACCACTGATAAAAACTATAAGCTATTCATGCTATTTAAATTCTAAAAATAACAAATAGCCATTTTAAAAATAAATAGCATAAGCATTTAAAATTTAAAGTTCAGAAAATGTTTCTATTTACAAAATTGTAAAGCTGATTAAAACAGTTTTAACAGTTTAATCTGTTTAAATCTCAAATAAGATTTAATTAAAACACCTGCAGATGAATGAAGACATGGTGTTCACAACTAGGGATGCATCGATACCATTTTTTTGAGACCAAGTACAAGTACATATTTTTTAGTACTCGCTGACACTGAGTGCAATACCACACTGCGCAACTGTAGTGTAAATGAGTGCAATGTCACTTAACAGTTATGAGAATTAGATATCGATGTTATGATAGTTACCTCAGGTCAGCTGCAGTGGAAAAGAGTGTTTTACTGCACATCAGAAAAACGCTTCTGTACAGCTGTAAGCCAAATCACGTTTCATAGTGCTGAACCTAGATCTGTCTCTTTCAACATCAGTCTCTGTAGCACAGTGACAGCAGGAATCACATCCTAAGCTAATCTGAGTGTCTGAAGTATTTTGTTTGGCTGGCTGAGCAGTAGTTGCACGTCCTCTAAATCCAGACATGCACCGTGCGATTTTAGAATTCTTGTTTTTTTAGGTGACTCACACTGAACGTGTGAATAGACCATTATGTACGAACAAAATCTATGATTTATATACTCACACTCTACATAAATGCCCCATGCATGCTACGTGAAACGCTCACTGCTGACAGTAGACGCTTGGCTTACGTCACACGGTATCAGCTGGTATCAGAATGTGGGTATCTCTGAATTTTTCACAAGGTATTGGCATCGATGCATCCCTACTCACAACAAAATAAACATAACATTCCACCAAAAACAATGGAGATGATGGAGAATACAATTAAAAAAGGAAATTAAAATAAAAAGAGTGTTTGTCCTTTGGTGAAAGAAAAGGTTGCAGAGAGGGAACACAGAGACAGTCAGTGGGGTGAGGGTTCTGAGACAAAAGAGGCAGCTCTGAGAAACCTACCGTACTGTCCATAATCAGGGAAGGATCCTTATAGTGCAGCACAGAGAGAAGAGAGGGGAAATAATATATACACATACAGAAGAGGAGAGGGTTTCAAAACAAAAAATAATATGGAAATTAAAGGTCAAAATTGGATAATTTACAAATTCATAAGAGAGGAAGAGAGAGGGAATGGAAGGGGAAAAGAGGGAGAGCGCAGGTCAGTAAAGAACAGAGATTATTCAAAGTGTGAACAGCACAGAAACTTAAGTAAAAAGTCATTTGAGCAGAAAATGGGCAATTACAGAAAAAGGGGCCCTGAAAATTGTGACTGAACTCCAGCCCACAGATACCACGTACATAAAACTGTGTGTCTGGTCTTTGAAAGTAGTTCATTAAAAGAACCTACCAAATACCTGAAAGAACCTACTGAACATAATGTTTAGATAACAACTGTTAGCTGTGTTAGCATGTTTGCTAATTATCTCGCTCACCATAGGAGTCCAGTCTTTTGTCCATGTAGACCTTGTACGTGAAGGCATGTCTGAGTGCCACAGCGGCAAAAAACATCTCAATGCAGATAATGAAGTTCTGGTAACCAGCAGCAACTGTCCCCTCTCCCACACTCACATCAGGAGAATCAATTTTTGGGATCGCACCACACTTCTCCAGGATAGCCAGCAGCATACCTGAAAGAGAGAAAGGGGGAAAGAGAATGAGACAGAGGGGTGAGCAAGCATAGTTACTGAGTAGTAAGGCTCACTCAATAACTAAGCTTGTAGACTATAGGGTTGAAGACCCCTGCTGTATGGTGTTGACAGTAGGGTGTTTGGTGTTGACTGTAGGGTGGACATTGTAGGGTGTAATCTCTAGGGTCTTTGGCGTAGATTGCAGGGTGTCAACAGTAAAAGAACAGTAAAATGTGGGGTGCAGACTGGTAGACTAGGGTGCTGGCTAAATAAGCTTATGTGTAGAGTGTGGGGTAGGTGTGGAGTGTAGGGTGTTGCAGCATCCTGGTCCTGGCGATTTACCATTCTACAGAGTTTATCTTCAACCCTAAGCAAACACACCTGATCCAGGTAACGTAGGCCTTCATGGCCATCTAAATATTAGAGCAAAGAGTGTTGGAACTAAACTCTCCAGCGCAGTAGATCTCCAGGACTAGGACTGAGGTGTAGGGTGTAAGTTGTTGGGGAAATGAGTGTAGGGTGTAGACCAAACATATTCTAGACTGTGGAAAAAAGAAATTACAAATCACAAAAATAAAAGTCTTATTATTGTCAATTCAATATTTATTTTTTCTCTATTCCTTTCTACCCCTAAATTTTATCCCTCTGCAATTTCTTTGCCGAAAGTCAGAATACCTATGGTGTAGACTAGAGGTGTCAAACTGGGTTCATCTCAGGCCACAGCTCTGCAGTGTCATGCGCTTCTCTTCATTAAACACACCAGATTCCATTCATTGCCTAATTAGCAAGGCTTTAATGAGTTG